TACGTTTTCACGGAAAGAAACAACTGGAAGAGGAGGGAAGAGGTCATCTTCTTCCTCCAAGCCCTGTATTTCCTAACAATCCCCTATTTTCCAAAAGAAGGCCCAGGTGGAGTATCAGGTGAGCTCCCGGCAGACGGGAGGCATTTCTCCAGGCTCGGGAGGCTATAGATAGGCCTTTATTCGGCAGCCAGATCTCAGTTCCAGAAGGCACTGGCAGCCACTGGAGTGGCCATCTCCCGGCCCAGGTTTTCCGAGCCAGTTCTCAAGGTCCTTCCAGGTGGGCGGGGGCAGAGTCGGGTTTCGGGGGGGGATGGGCTAACCACCTCCGGCCCTCGCGCGGCAGACCCCACCCTCATCGCTGCAGAAAGGGAAGGGACGTGGGGCAGGATTCACCCGAACCCCGCTCCAAACGGGAGTCCGTGGGGCGCTGGAACAAAGCTGGACTGGTCCGCCAGGCGAGGCCCGAGCCTCAGGCGGAGCTCACTCGCACCGGCTGGGGAGGGGACGCCGCAGGGTGCAGAGGCGGGCTAGGAGGCGTCGGCATCTGGCCTTGATGGGCCTTGAGGGACACCTAGGCCCTGCGATGGCCACCTTCCTACCTTGGGGGGAGGGGGAGGGCAGAAGGCAGTAGTACCGACCATCCTCACTCAAAGGGAGGCAGCAGGCGAGGGAGTGGGAACCGCCGGTAAGCCGGGGCTGCCGTGGATCCCGCAGGCCCACAGTCCGTCAGGGTCACTAGGGGGAAGATGTCCCGGATCCCCGCCCTGCAGTCCCGCGGGTTAGGGAAGAGGCCGTCATATTGGACTAAGGCGAGGGCCCTTACCGCTTGAAATCCCGCATGAGCCTCCTACGGGCCGGGGTCGACATGCTCCGCAGCTGCCCCGCGGTCAGTCTGAAAGAAAAGAGTCCCTTTCGGCCCCCCCACCCCCCGGCGCAGCGGCCGAATCACTGTGGGTCGCCGCAGCCGCCGAGACTGCACAAACAACCCTGCAATGACGTCTCCCTCCGCCGCCTCTAGATCCCTCCGCCCTCCGCCAGTACCACCGCGGGAGAAGGGGGGAGGGGGCGGGGCGAGCGGGCGCGCGCGCGGCCACGGCCCGCGCCAGGGACCGTCTTCCGGGTTGATTTCCTGTGGGGAGCCGCGCCGAGCCCGTTCCCTGGTCACGCCGAACGCGACGGGCCCGAGGCCGCCCGCGGCCGCACGCTACCTTGCCTCTCTCCCCCCGTCGCTAGTTTCAGGTTCGGCCGGACGGGGAGAGACGGGCGCATCCGGAGCCTGAGATTTCAGGGAAAGGAGGTGGGGTGACGTAAGGTCACGTGACCGCTGGCGGCGTTGTCAACAATCCACCCCTGAGGGGGAGGGAGCGAAGTATCTAGAACCACGTGTCCCTGTGACGCCATTAAACAGGTCACGTGACGGCGTCGCCTGGCTCCTGGTTTTAGGTCTAACGAGGCAGGTCGCTGTGTTTAAGAGCGAGCTTGACACCTCTAACCGTATCTTGTTCTTTTGGCCCCAAGTACAGGAACTTTGCTGAAGGAGATGTTGTGGAAGGAGCCGCTTGCCTTCTAAGTCTTTAACACGGAACCAAAAAAACCCTGAATTCTCTATTTCAAGTGACTTAGCAACTTTGGTACGTGGGGCAGGTGCTGAAACGGTCGCGTAGACTTGTAATAATCAGCTTTGAATGCTAAGGCCAGCGCAAATGAGATGGCTCACAGGCTTTGGGACCAGTAACCTGTTCCTACTAGTGGAATTTCCATAGGGAAATGAGCATGGACTAGATTGTCCAAGTCTCTAAAGACGGCATAGAGCTAAAGAAATTGGAATC